TCTACGTATATGCATACATATGTAAGCATTTTTATATAATGTATTTATTGACCTTTTTTTATTTTTTTATTAATTTCTTCATTAGCTATTGTACATTTTCAGGTGGAGATTCCAGAGGAATCAGGGAGAGTGACCAAGTACAATGTTAGATTGGTTGTTGCGAAGCGTGCCAACTTGCAAGAACTTATGCAGGCGCTGAAGTACAAACCAGGAGAGAAGCGGAAAGAGATACCCAGTCCATTAGTCAGTGTGAGTGTGTAGGAGGGGTTGTGTTGGCTCGTATGAGATATAAGTGACAAACATGTGTGCCTCTTGTTAAATTCTTGGTGAAATGTAAGACCCCCCCCCCCCACCAGTTAATAGAATTCCAGCTTAAACTAGATTGTTTTTAAAATCCCATCATTGCCTTAATATTGATCTGATATTTTACATACTAGTACTTCTATATTTAGCATGATTCACATCACATCTTCAGACAAATCAAATGTATATACAACTATGCAGTACATATGTAGTATTTGTAGAAAAGAAAAAATCTTTTTTTACTGACAGATGTTAGAAGTTATGTTTGGACATAACTCGAGCATTAAGTTTGTAAAGGTTGGCCGCAACAATTTCTTCCAATGGGTGGAGAGTTTGGCAGGCCATTTGACATTGGGGGAGGCAAGGAGGGTGTGACCGGCTTCTTCAGCTCTCTACGACCTGCTGCCTGGAAAGATGGCTCTCTCCTGCTGAACATTGATGGTTAATATTTTCTAATTTTCTCTCATGAAAATTGCTCTTTTGTGAGATTTCTCTTCTTAAAATGGAATTTAATGATATTTGCTGAAAATATCCTCTTCTTGTAGCTCTCATAAAACCCCTGGACCAGTTGCATCATAGCAATCACATGGGACATTAGGCTTACATAAGTGGGCCACTCTGCTGGGTGCGTGGCTTGTAGGCCAAGTGCAAGTGAACACATGTGTGCTGTGACAAGAGTAGATGCTTTTCATATGCAAAGTTATTTTTGCATAGACATTTTTAGCTTTTTGCCATTTTCCAATTTCCATATTTGTCTCTTGATTTGCTTTATCCAGATGGTAATGGACTAGTTTTCCTTGCACAGACTTCATTTCATTACTCTGTGTAGTAAATAATATTTTGTTATTTTTGTCATATATTTCCCATTTTTGTAATATTCAATTTTTTGTAAGACAACCTGTGTCACTAGTCACAGCAGCCAGGAATAGGATGCTGAGTATGGAAATGGTGTCCTTCCTGGAGCCAGTGTTCCTCCAGTCTTGGCTCATGGACATTACATTCCACACTCTTTTTATAAATGTGAATGATGCAAAAACCCTTTCTTAATGCCAAATAAGTCTAATCACCCTCCTAGAGGTGTTTGCACTTGTGACAAGTTTTTCCGGTCATCCAGGTCTTCGCTCATGACAGGAAGTTCGCATCACTGGGCTCATGGCTATTTTCTCCTATGATGGCATGTTCATGTCACCCATTCCTCAACCCAGATTTTTCCATAATGTGTTGTTCATATCACCTGTATCCAAGGAATTAATCCATTGAACTAGGAATAACGTTGTAGTCATGTCACGTCAAATTTTGAGTCGAAGGTGGGTGACGTAAATATGCTGTCATCGGGCAAATGGCAGCGGCCCGGATGATGCAAACTTGCTGTCATGAGTGAAGGGTGTACAAACCTCTTGGAGTGTGATTTGACTCATTTGGCACTTAGAAGGGAGCATTAGCATTCCCATCAATAAACAAATGTGGAATGTATTGTGTTGCAAACTGACTGAAAGCCTGTTCAGTAAGGACACCATTTCCATACTGTGCATTGTATTCCTCGGCCACTGTGACTAGCGGTGCAGGTTGTAGTATGTTAAATTGAAAATTACATAAAAATGGATTATATGACAATAAACAAATGTTCCTTTTTCTTTTCTTTTCTTTTCTTTTTCATTTTCTTTTCTTTTCTTTTCTTTTCTTTTTCTTTTCTTTTCTTTTCTTTTCTTTTTCTTTTCTTTTCTTTTTTTCTTTTCTTTTCTTTTTTTCTTTTCTTTTCTTTTCTTTTCTTTCTCTTTTCTTTTCTTTTCTTTCTTTTCTTTTCCTTTTCTTTTCTTTTTCTTTTCTTTTCTTTCTTTTTCCTTTTCCACCTATTCTTTCTTTTTGTATTTACTTTTCTTTATTCCTTTTCTCCTTCCCTGTCTGTTTTCTAAATATATATCTTATATATTACTATTTTTAACTAATATATCTTATATCTAATAAATTTCAAATTTTTTTTTCTTTTCTTTTCGTTTTCTTTTTCGGTTTACAAGAGTTGTTATATAAGCGTTCATTGATAATATCAGGAAGATTCTGTAGCAAAGGAAAATTAAAAGACTATTACCATACTGTGAGTATATAAGACAGATTGATTATATTATAGTTACTTGTCAGCCCACTCAATTTGGGTGTTTCGTGTATGCCCCGACACTAGGTGCCACATTTACCACGAAATAGTTGTATTGATTATGAACTATGCCGGTAATTATGTAGCTATTAGGGCCCGTGGTACATCGTGGGCATCGCCTATTTTCGCAGCATCATAATAGGATCTTGTTAGTTTTTATCCCATGAAAATAGATGATACCCATGCTCGGGCAGGGATTTAAGATGGAACTTGTGTTGCCACCAGATCTTTCTTCGTGTACTGATTACGTTCCACTCTCTCCTAGCGCCTCAAAAAGCAAAATTTTGAACCTATGACCACTATCTCCGAATCAATACAATCTCGATACTCTAACGGTGTACATTGGATCTATTGAGCTGGCTGGCGTGCTCCCATGACATAGCATGCTTGTACCTATCCAAGTGTCTGTACGCGTTATATGCTATTACACTTGTAGATAAATAATGTTAGTATTCTGATCTTTTTCATACCTCTCTCTCATCTCTCTTCTCTCTTCTTCCTCTTCTTTTTCTCGTTCTCTCGTGTGCTCTTCTCCCTCTCTCTCTCCCTCTCCACATTTCTCTCTCTTCTCTTCTTCTTCTCTCTCTATACTCTTCTTCCTGCTCTTCACTTCATCACTCTCAACCTCCTTACTCACTCTCACTTCACTCTTCTCTCTTCAACTGCTCAATCTTCTTTTTAATCTTCTCACTCACTTCTCACTCTCTCAGTTCTCTCTACTTCTCTCTCTCTCCTCTCTTCTCTCTCTTCTCTCTTCTCTCTCTCTCTCTCTCTCTCTCTCTCTCTCTCATCTCTCTCTCTCTCGTCTCTTTCTCTCTTTCTCTCTGCTCCCTCTCTTCTCTCATCTCTCTCTCTCTCTCTCCCTCTCTCTTTTTCTCTCTCTCTCTCTCTCTTTTCTCTCTCTCTCTCTCTATTTTCTCTCTCTCTCTCTCTCTATTTTCTCTCTCTCTACTTTTTTCTCTCTCCCTCTCTCTCTCTCTGTCTCCTCTCTTCTTCTCCTCTCTCTCCTCTCTCTCTCTCTCTCTCTCTCTCTCTCTCTTCTCTCTTCTCTTTCTCTCTCTCTCTCTTTTCTCTCTTCTTCTACTCTCTTTCTCTTTCTCTCTCTCTTTTTCTCCTTTCTCTCTCTCTTTTCTCTCTCTCTCTCTCTCTCTCTCTCTCTCTCTCTCTCTCTCTCTCTCTCTCTCTCTCTTCTCTCTCTCTCTCTCTCTCTCTCTCTCTCTCTCTCTCTCTCTCTCCTCTCTCTCTCTTCTTTCTCTCCTCTTCCCTCTCTCTCTCTCCCCTTTCTCTATTCTCTTTCTTTTTATTTCTCACTGTTCTCATTCTATGTTTTCCAACCAACCTTTGCCAGTACTTTATTATTTTTAGATGTCAAGAAGACTGCATCCAAGGATAAGATGTGGATTTAGAAATACAGTCTGCCCCTAGACATGTATGCATATGAGGCTTTTGCTTGCTTTTCTGAAATTCTCAAAAGCATATAGTCAACATTGTGTAAGTAGTGTCAGGGTAGAGGAGTGCAGAAATTAGACCTTTTTGCATTTTTCTGAAATTCTGCAAAGCATATAGTCAACATTGTGTAAGTAGTGTCAGGGTAGAGGAGTGCAGAAATTAGACTTATTGATACAGTGTCATAGCATTATAAAAGATGCATTAAAAAAAATCTTATTCTTTCATAAAGCACCATTTATCATACAGATGTATTAATATCTGGTATTTCATACTTTTGGAACAAGCATAAGCATAAGTATCAGAAGGGAGCTCAGTTTGACCCTCTTTACCCTTCATTGCCTGGGATGCTCTTCAGAACCATGTCATTTTCCAGTTGCAAATACATCGTTCTACAAAGAGCAACCTGTCATCGATTTTCTGATGGAGACACTTCGCCTGCAGGCCCAGGACCTCAACCAAACCCTGAAACCCTATCACAAAAAGTCACTCAGAAAAGAGCTGAAGAACTTAAAGGTGGGATACAGAAATTGGAAAATATTGATAAAGCTTTCCCATTCTGAAAGGAGTTCAGTAATTTAATGGGTTTGTCCTGCATGGGGGAAAGGTGATAGAGAGGATGGGAAATAGATTAGTTTATGATATTTATGGAAATCAGTCAGAAAAGATCTAAAGAATGAAAAATGTACCTGTTAAATTACAAATGTTGGATAAGATAATATAGTAGATGTGACTAGATTATAAAATTTGTTTCTAAGAATGTGTAATGCATTAACAATTGGAAAAATTAGTGGTTAACTCATACTGAAAACTTCATCCTTGTAATTTGATAAGCTTGCAAAAACTTGGAGCTGGCTGACTGTCCATGATGCATATCCTTGCCAACTTGCATTAATCTTTTGCTTGCCATAGCAAGAATTAATGCATGTGGGCAATATAGGGTGAAAAGAACAGACAATTTAGAAGGAATTGACAAAAATCTTTTTGGGCTGACAATCCCTCCAAGCCAGTATTCTCTGGCTTTAGTTGGCATGCTACACACTTTCATTCTAGCTTATAGCATATTAACAAAATTTGATTGTCAAATTCCTATACTGATAGGGCCATCATAGGTTCCAAGGAATAAAAAGATTAGAAGAGGAAATGACCCGAGAATTTACTTGTTTGTACTGAAGTTTTGCATATTATTTTCACAACTTGACATGCATTTTCCCTCCCCAGGTCCAGGTGACCCATTCCCTTGTACCAAGAACATACAGAGTGAGAGACATTGGAGAACTTGGTGCAGATCGCCAGACATTTATGCTAACAAACCCAGAAACACAACAGGGAGAAAAATGTTGTCTGTTTATGAATTATTTCTCAATGCGCTACCAGATGCGTCTGAGGTTCCCAAAGCTGAACTGTCTGATGGTGGGACCACAAAATAGAAATGTGTATGTTCCCATGGAGGTAATTCTCTTTTTAGTTGAAGGTTGTTTTTGTAATATTTTGTAATCAATACAAGACAATATTTTCTCAGTATTCTATAACTGGTAAAAGGAAACTATTCTTGTCATTTGCATGAAACAAAGAGCACTATATTTATCGTAAGTGAATATTAAACTGTAATATTTGTTAGCATCACTAATGACTGTTAAAGAGTGCAATAGTTGGTCTTTGTAGGATTTTATTACCAGCTTTAGGAGGAAGAAAGGTCTTTTTTTATTTTTTTGTTATTCTAACTTTGCAAATTTTACATTTGCAAGCAAATCACTACCCTGTGTGTTAGCTGTAAGGTCAGCTTCTCACCCTCGTCCCCGAGGTCTTCCCTTCCCCCTCTGCCCCACCTGAAGGGGGGAGGGGGGAGGAGGCCTCGGGGAGGAAGGTAGGTAGTGTATTAGGACGTCACGGTCATTGACTATCAGAATGACCCACTCTGACCAGTTATGTGACCTCTTGTCAGGTGGGATGTTTCCTACCTTTCCTTAAAAAGGGGAGAGGGGCTATGGGGGAAGGGGGAAGGGGTGACTGGGGATCAGGGATGATTAGGCATCAGGTAGGACAGAGGGGGAAGGGGGGAGGAAGACTCATGGAGAGAGGGCAGATTGGCATCAGGTGGGTTGGTGGAGGGGGAAGGGAAGACCTTGGGAAGGAAGAGGTGGGTAGTACATCGTGACGTTATGCTCCTTGACAAATCAGAATGACCCATGTTGACCAATTGCGTCACCTCTTGTCAGGTGGGAAAAAAAGGGAAAAGGGGGAGGGAAGACCTCTGGATGTAGGGGCTTACCATTCCTTCCTCTGGGTTTCATCTGGAAAAAGAAGAGGCCTTTCGTGTGACGTCATAAGATCGAGGCCATCCCACTGGTCAAGGTCGACCACCTGGATGCCGACTCGACCACACCAGAGATTCTGGACTGCTTCCTGACTCCAGAGTTGTGGAACATTATGGCAAGGGTGACCAACGGGTATGTAGAGCAAAGGCCGGTAACCCCATTTTCGCGCATGAAGATTGAGAGATTTACGGACTGTGAGAGTGAGCTGCAAGTACAATATCATTGGCCTTTGAACACTACTCCAAATGGAGCATGACAGCCATAGAACCCATATTCAGTAAAATAAAAGGGAATATACTGAGAATAAAAATAAAAAAAACAGGAGATTTGATATCCATTCGACCATGTGAAATTTGCTGAGAAGAAAAAAACATAGACCAGGGACAGAAGATCCACTTCATATAAACAAGACTTATGGAAATCCACATGCCATGACACACAGACCTTTGTGAAAAAGACTACACCTGAGAAAAATGAAAAATTTGAGATGATATACCTTCGATGAAACTTTTTTAAAGTAGGTCTAAAATGATCCATGAGTTATGAAAAAGATTCTTAGTGAAAGCTACAACCTGTGTTGGATGTCCTCGATGAAACTTTTTTAAGTGGTCTATGTCCCTGGTATGAAGATCTCAGTTGATGAATTTCTGTGGGTGTACAAGGGGTGTCACCACACAATTTAGTTCAACCCGACGAGGAGGGCGCGATTTGAGATGAAGATGTACCGCCTGTATGACAGTTAAGATGCTGGTGCTGCCTGCACCAGTGCTTTCAACATCTACATGCACCAGGACCGCAGCAACGTGCCTGCTAGCATGAAGGCCGTGTCTGACCTCATGAACTGCACCTGCTTTGAGAAAGGCTATGAGCTGTACCTGGACAACTGAACAACTCCCCAGAACTTTTCATTTCCTGCAGTGGAGGAATAGACAAAACGCTATGGAGGGACAGTTCGGCTGAACTGAAAGTTCATGCTGAAGGACCTAATGGTGATCGCCTGCAGTGACGTTGACTTCTGGACTTCAGTGACAGGGACGTTGGCCATATCCTGGATGGATCGGAAGCAAGTGAACATGGCCCAGACATGGTTGACCTGCTCTTGACCGCTGTGATGAAGTCTGGAGTAAGCCCCAAGCAGTCCTCGACTACAGCGTGGGTATGAAGGGGGTCAACCTTCTGATCAGTTGGCTTCATCATACTTCACTGCCAGAAAGAGCAATAAGTGGTATCAAATGTGTTTTACCACTTGAGTGTGGTTCATTTCCACAGGGGCACATGGTGTTGGGTGTACCTTCAGCCAGCTTGATGAGTATAGCTGGAGCTCATTTTAAACCTTCTTGAACCTCTGGGTGTACAGGAGAGAGGAAGGCGGCCATCAGACGCCTCCGGCTGCCGCTCTATCGCCTCCCCGCCACTAGAACGCCCCATATTTTAGCCAGCTAGCCTACTAGCGGGTACCGCCAGGGTATAATATTCCTGGTGTTTCAGCCAGGTTGCACAATCCGGAGATATGTGTGCTTGTTGGTCCACTGGCCAGCAGCTGCGAATTGTGGCCAGCCGCCAAGGACGGATGGCTTACATATGGCCCCTCGCTCGGCACGAAGTCCGTGATGTCTCTTCTTGTGTCAGGAAGATTTTGCTTCCAATCTGTGGCCACAGCAACCTGTTAGTGGAGATGGACGCTGGACGTGCAATGTGCATCATCTCATGTCTCCGATTCGCGCGATTATCGCAGGCCATAATTGTTTCTCGAAGCGAGGATCTCCTCACGCCACCGGTCCGTTAGTAGCAGGAGGTATCGCACTCAATGTCACACTCATGCAGCATGAAGATTTCCCTCTCATACTGTGCCTCCAGCCAGCAGGGAGGATTTGCACGTCATCCTCCAGCAGCAGAGCTAAGATCTGTTCGCCGGCCTCCGCAGCAAGTGGAGGAATCTCTCGCTGCCTTCACAACAGCAGAAGGCTCCCTTCATGCGAGAAGGTCCAGATGCAGCAGGAATTCGATTAATCCTAGCTCTCTTCATGCTGCCATCCAGGCAATCAGGAAGTGATCTCCCTCATGCTGCTTCCAGCAGCAGCAGGAGGAGAACCTCTCATGCTGCCTCAGGCAGCAACAGCAGCAGGAGGATCCCCCATGCAGCCTCCAGCAGCAGCAGGAGTATCCTTCACACGGCCTCCAGCAGCAGCAGGAGGATCCCTCTCATGGCCTCCAGCAGCAGGAGGATCCATCATGCCGAATCCAGCAGCAGGAGGATCTCTCATGCTGCTTCCAGCAACAGGAGGATCCCTCATGCTGCCTCCAGCAGCAGAAGGAGGATCCCTCATGCTCCCTCCAGCAGCAGAAGGAGGATCCCTCATGCTGCCTCCAGCAGCAGGAGGATCTCTCACACTACCTCCAGCAGTTGGAGGGGTCCTTCATGCTATTTCCAGCAGGATCCCTTATGCCACCTCCAGCAGCAGCAGGATCCCTCACGCCATCTCCAACAGCAGGAGGATCTTTCACGCCAATAGTAATTGAGTTGACAAACCATAAAGCCATAATTGATGTCCACCTCTTTCAGAGAAACATGATTTGTAAGACAATGAACTCTGAATTATAATGTGAATATAAAGAATTACAGATAAGCAAAGCCACTTTGCATCCTCACAGCTCCAAAGTTGTCCTTTTCAACAGGTATGACAATAACAGAATATTTCTCTCTCAAACTATCGAAAGTGAGTGTAGAGCAACACTGGGCAATATCAAGGAGACCTATGAAGTTGTGGCTTTGGCAGCTCAACCAGATGTGTCGTGAAGAGCTAGAGATGGGCTGAGGTCCTGCCTGACGACTTGCTGAGAGGGATTACTATGGCTGGATATGATGGGTGGATGCGGCTATGCGCCCCTCTTTGTGTCGACTCCTTTGATGATGATAATGATGATGAAAAATTTGACTGAAGGCTGGGTGGTGAGAATATACCATCACTGAAATTTTGGTTTGAGGGCCAGGGAGACAGAAATAGGTTCCCATGGAAAATTTGGCTGAGGGCTGGATCATAGGAATATAGCATCACTGAAGAAAAAAAATTGAGTGCCTGGGAGATGACAGTGATCTTGAGAAAATTTTGGCTGAGTGCTAGAAGAATGGCAATGACTTACCTTGAGTGTACAAAGCTCTTGGGGGAGGAATAAACTCAGTGGGCATTTTGAAAGGGGCTCTTGCATTGATTTTAGTAATCTTTATTCATATTTACTTTGCACTGACTCATCCATATCACTTTGTGAAATTGAATTGATTTTTATAACTATATACCTAAGATCATAACCAAGTTATTTCTTATATCTACAAACCAAAGGGAATTTTGATTACATACACAGTTGTAGTCTCTCTCTCTCTCTCTCTCTCTCTCTCTCTCTCTCTCTCTCTCTCTCTCTCTCTCTCTCTCTCTCTCTCTCTCTCCTCTCTCTCTCTCTCTCTCTCTTTCTCTCTTTTCTCTCTTTCTCTCTTCTCTCTCTCTTTCTCTCTCTCTTTTCTCTCTCTCTTCTCTCTTTCTCTCTTCTCCTCTTTCTCTCTATTCTCTCTCTCTCTTCCTTTCTTCTTCTCTCTTCTCTCTTTCTCTCATATTTCTCTCTCTCTCTTTCTCTTCATTATTCTCTTCTTTCTCTCTTTCTTCTCTTATTCTCTCTCTCTCTTTCTCTCTTATTTCTCTCCTCTCGTCTTTCTCTCTCTTTATTCTCTCGTCTCTCTCTTTCTCTCTTATCTCTCCTCTCTCTCTTCATTCTCTTTCTTATTTCTCTCTCTC